ATCTCACTCAAACATCTTGTTCTCTGCCCTTGTGCATTGAGACATTTTTCAACAAATTTTTCACCGCCCTCAATGCGTTGAGATCTAATTTTCACAACTAAAATCAACAAACACGCCAACATTTTTTCGACGAACTACGGTACTTTAATCTCTCATAATGCTTGAGGATACCTAGACACATAGTTGTAACACTCTAGCGGGTACAATAATAAAAAAAAAAAAAATTTGTTCCCCTTAATAATTAAATCTTCCTTTAAAAATAAAACATTGTCTTTGGTAAATAAATAAGTGAGTAATAAAGCAAGAATAAATAACTTTAGCAAACATCTCTTAGATAAACTTAACCCTAGAATTAAAGAAGGATCTCATTGAGTACAATGGAGGTGAGAGGTGATAACACCTTCCCATTACTTAATCGACTCCTGAATCCTAGTGTCTCACCCTTAATTTTAGGTTTTATCATTATTTTCTCGTTCCTTAAGAACGAATAAAGGATGATAGTGACTATGTAATTTTTCAGCCGTGACAGTTACCCCTTATGGAATTACTTTAGAGTTCAAGAATGGACCTCATTCTTTTATATGCTGAATGGATCAACTTATCCCTATCTTGTCAAAGACTTATGGGTAAGAGCTGAAGTATATTATGAGTTTGCTGCTTCTATGGAAGAAAATTAGAAGGAACTGAAAGACAACTCTTTGAAAGGGAAGAGTAGAAAGGAAATGGGAATAAAGGAGTTTGAGGAAGTGGAAATTAGGTCAGATGTGATGGGTGTTGATGTCACAGTCACTCAGAAAATAATTGTTAAACTTTTTGGTGTGTCAAATACAGAAATGTTCATCCTAAACACCAAAGAAGTCATTCTTGAAGTTGATATCATCAAGACAAGGTTATTTGAGATTTTAGAAAATAGATGTTCCTCTTCAGACTTTGGAAAGGTGAAGAACATGAAGACTACTTACAAGCTTCTATTCAAGATTCTTATTGGTTTTCTAATCCCTAGAGAAGGTTACACTAATTAAATCTATTGGGATCATATACACTTCCTCTAGTATTTGGTCAATGAAGAAAACATCAATCTCCCTAGTTACGCCACGTAGACCCTGGAAGTTACTTATGTTGGACCTGACAATACAGTCTAATACAAAGTAACTATTGGCTCAGCGCTAGGGGCACATTATAAATACCCTCTTTCACTAGAGGGTCAGGTTTTCTGAATTCTACACCTTGTTTTTGTACTTGGTCTCTCATACTTTGTTTCTTACTTTAGCATCAGAGTACCTTGCAGGTACACCCCCTCCTCTTCTCCAACATCGGTGAAAACAGAAGCTCACGACGCGTGGCAGACTGCTGATCCCTTTCTGATCCGGTAAGATCAGATTCAAAATGGTGTTTTTCCACTATAAATAGCCAATATTTCTGAACTTCAAAAATCACTTCTTCAATCATTTCAAATTCAAAACTCTCTCAAGTTTCAACTAAGTTACTTGAGTCATACTTTCTGTGAAACTTTCTGCATTAAACTTATATAAGTATCATTAAAGTTTAACTCATAAATTCTGAGAACTTAAGTATTGCTCTGGTATATTGTATACATTGAAGTAAAGATCAATTCTCAAGAATTGATACATATTAAAATCTTCTTCTTTACAACATTCTATTTTTGTGGATGACAAAGTGTTAAGTAGTTTTTGTTTGAGATAAAAAGTGGTGTGCTTCTTATTCAAAGTGTAAAAGAAAGTGGTGTGCTTTCTTGTATGTTAGATAAATGTGTGAGTGACCTTGGTGTGAGGATTGTACAAATTCTAACATAGTAAAATTTTTCATAGGGTGTGAGAGGACTAGATGTGCTTTTGTTTGAAAAAGGGGAACTAGTATACATCTTTGTGTCATTTATTTTTTCAGCACTTACTTTCTGCATTTTATCATTCATATCGTTTCTGCAAAAATAAGAATATTGTCCATCACTTATAAAATGAAAAATTTTTAGAAAGTCCAACAAATCTAATTCACTCATAAAACTCTCTCAATTTCAAAAGATCACCCCTTCAATCATTTCAAATTCAAAACTATTTTAATTTTCAACTAAGTTACTTGAGTCATACTTTTTGTGAAATTTTCTGCATTAAAATTTTACAAGTATCAATAAATTTTCACTCATAAACTCTAAGAACTTAAGTATTACTCTTGTATATTATATATATTGAAGGAAAGAACAATTCTCAAGAATTTATACATATTTAAATATTCTTTTTTACAACATTTTGTTTTTGTAGATCACAAAGTATTAAATGTTTTTTGTTTGAGATAAAAAAAAAAAGTGGTGTTTTTTATTTAAAGTGTAAAAGAAAGTGGTGTGCTTTCTTGTATTTTAGATACGTGTATGAGTGACATTGGTGTGAGAATTGTACAAGTTATAACATAGTGAAATCTTTCACGGGGTGTGAGAGAACTAGGCATACCCTTGTTTGAAAAGGAGAATTAATATACATCTTGATGTCTTTTATTTTTCCAACACTTACTTTATGTATTTTATAATTCATATCGTTTTCGGAAAATAAGAAACTTGTCATCTTTTATTAAACGAAATTTTTTTAAAAAGTCCAACAAATCCCGCCCCGTCTTAGATTACATTAACCTGACAGGTGATGTGTATTCATTGCTTAGTATTATCATTATTGCAATTAAGTTATAAAACAATATGATTTAATCAGTTTTCAATGTTGTCTATTGAATTTATTAATTGATACAAACTTTTATTTTCGTTGATTGAATTTTCTATGTGAAAGCTTCTGTGGTTTTCAACTTAGGATTGTATCTAGTTTTGACTATTAAAATGTTTAAAAAAAACAAGAGAAAGTATTGAGATACTAGAGCCATAAAAAGGTTTTAAACTTCACTTCTCTATTGATAAAACTTTTTGAAACTAATTCGGGTAAGTGTTTAATTGATTAGAAGTTTGTTTAATCAATTAAAAAGGTAAAAAAAAAATATTTGTTAATTAATTAAAAGATTATTCTAATAGACTAAATTAAAGTGATCGATTAAGGAAGTTGTTAATCCATTCAATGACGTAAAAAGTCAAACTTTTTTATTTTAGCCAAATTAATCTAGTAATATATAATTTTAATTGATTAAATCATTAAAAAGACTCGTAAATTGTTTCCTTTTTGAATTTGATTTTTCTATATAAATTAGATTTCTCATTTCAAAATATACTAACTTTCTGAATAGAAGTTCTTTATTATTATTTTTTCTCTTATTTTTTTTATAAAGTTTTTTTTTTTTGCTAGAATTATCTTATTGTCAAGAAAGCAGATAAGTTTATCTAAGAGTTGTGTTATATATGTGTTGTATAAAGTGTTTATTCAAGAGAACAATCCTCATGTGATTTTTTTTAATAAGATTTAAAGGTTCCAAGCTAAATTTCAAAAAGATTTGAGTATGAGTTGGGCCTCTTTAAAAGTCTTAACGTTATTAAGCAATTTCTATGTAAAAACTTTGGTTGTTTGTAAAAGGTTTGTGGGTTTATCATGTGTAAAAGCCCTAATTGATTGTAAAGTTGATTGGGTGGATTTACATAAAAACTTAAGATTATCTTTTGATAAAAAACTCTTAAGGACTTGGATAGATGTGACTTCTGTCTTAGCATCTTAAGGACTTGAGTAGGTCAAGTGACTTCTGCCTTAGCATCTTTTCTTCTCTATTATTTTGATGTTTAATTTTTGTCTATTTATCACTTCTAGCATAAATTTCAAACAAATTACCGGTAATTATTTAATGATAGAAAACACAAATCAGAAGTATCTTTATTCTTATAGTCATGTGCCTTCATATGTTCAAACAAACACCCTCCTAAATGAAATAAAATATAAGACAAATCAAATGTAGTTTTAGTTTTATAGTCATGTGCAATGTAGTGAAGCACACAAACACCCTCCTAAATGAAATAAAATATAAGACAAATCAAAGGTAGTTTTAGTTTTATAGTCATGTGCAATGTAGTGAAGCACGAAATTTTAAATAGGATTGTACGGTCCATAAAAGAACTTAAGATTAGGTTCGTAACACGGTAATTAAGATCTTATCGAATGGCAATATATATATATATATATATATATATATATATATATATATATATATATATATATATATATATATATATATATATATATATATATACACACACAAAAAAACATGAAAATTATAATACATGGACAAAATAACCTATAAATCACAAAATTCAACCAATTTAATTAATAACTCATAACTATCATTCTATAATTTAACAAGTTCAGAAGACTTTGTTCAAAATAACTAACTCAAAAAACATAAATCTAACAAATAAGTCTAATCATCTATGTTCAAAATAACTAACTCAAAAAACATAAATCTAACAAATAAGTCTAATCATCTAAGATATTATGTATTATGATTCTCATATCATAATATTCATATAAAAGACAATTTCAATTCTACGATCTTACGACCCAACACTCGATCTTGACCACAGAGTGCACAAAAAAGGTTTTTTCCTCAGATCATAGCACTAATAGGTAACTTCAACATGTAAGATCTTAAGACCCAGCAATAGATCATAGCACTAATAGGCAACTTCAACATGTAAGATCTTAAGACCCAGCAATAGATCGTGACTACACAGGTCATGTGTCTGCGAATCTTCTAACAATCATCCTACTAAATGAAATAAAATAAAATACAAATAAAACACAACTACGATGAGATACATAATTTTTCATTAGTACATGCAAAAACAAATTAGTATTTATTAATGACCATGAAATTATAAAGAATTTACATACACAAACATTCAAGATATTAACAAGCACCAATTATACAAATTCGTGATGATAATAAGATGATAAAACATTGTAATGTATGCACCGATGACATAACAACAACATATCAACAAAAAGTTTACATAAAACCATAATGTCCAATTATTTTAAGACACTGCTAGAACATAACACTTTTAACATTCACTTCCAATCTAGCATGTCCAACAGACATAAGACTTCTTCCTTAGAATTTGCCACATCACAGAAATCCATTTGGATCCCAAATACATCCATAAGATCTTCCTTTACATCTTCCATAAATAGCAAAGAGATCCATGCCCGGATGCCCGACAAAAACGGGTAGCCAGGGGATATTTCTAGGTAATCAAACGCCAGAGCTCTATACGATGAACGGTCAATATAATCGAACATGGACTTATTTATGATGCATGCAACCTTGTTTGTATCGTTACGCCCAACCATCACAGAGACACTAACATTCTGATTTTGTCCGGAAGGGATAGTAAACCTCGGTTCAACCGGAAAAGTCATCTTGTATTCAGAACCCTCAAGGTGAAACTTGAGCAGCTCGCAAACTCCAGATGGTGGACTTTTAAAACCTGATTGCAGGACAGAGCCAGAGACCACTTCTGAGAAGAGAAGGTTATTTTCAGCCCAAATGTCAATGAAAAAGTCTAAATCATCAAAGGAAATTCTCGGAGGGAGAAGAGTCTTGCGTTGCTGGCGTTTATGGAAGGTTTTGTATAACTTGTAGTAGGTTTCGGTAGGAGGGTTGGGTCGCTTGCAGACTGACGGCCATCTCTTGGCACACTGACATTTCCAAAAGAAATCGTCTTTGGCTAAGTCTTTCCACTGCTTACAGACAAACATACAAGAAGCAAGATCAACACCCTCCAGTAAAGGGAAAACAGCCTTCAAAACTTCTTCTGATTCCATTGATGATCCCAGGTTTAAATTAATTGATCATACACTGCAACGAAGAATTAAATATGTGAACATCTGAAGAATTCCAAGAGAATGAAATAGAAACATGGAAAAAACTTGACAAGCTGTCGACCGGTAAGATTAAGATGTAAACATTTCTCTAAGCAAACATAATACTTGCATCAACAAAACAAGCAATGATTAATGAATATCAGAATCCATAATACTTGCATCAACAAAATACAAAATGACTTCTTAAATCTTTGCTATATCAAAACAGGTAAGGTTTTGCAACCAACTACAGAGTATTTAACTGAAACAAGTACTCCCCCCATGCTAACCCTATATCTAACAGTGAAGGAAAGAATCTCATATCACCAGAGGTAATGACATTATGATAACCTATTTGTTCAATCAAGTTAAGAACTGAAACATCATGCTTTCCTATAACCACAAATACCAGATGCTGTGTCAACTGCATTAGGCAATCCTCACCCCACTTCACATTCTTGTTAATGCAAGACACAATGGACAGGAATATTGTGACGGAATTTTGAGCATACATCTACGAAAAGACAACCAAAAGTACACTACTCAATCTTTAGCAAACCAGCATATAAAGTGTAAAACTAACTTGTTTTCCTGCAATTAAAGTTTTTAATAAACTCACATTCTTTAATGCAACAACAACAACCAAGTTTTATCCCACTAAAGGAGGCCGGCTACATGAATCAAATTTTGCCATAATGTTCGATCCAGGACCATATTTCTATGAAAATCATTAATCTCGAAACCTTACTTAATAACATCTCTTTTAGTTTTTTTTTACGACTTCCTCTACCTCTATTTATTTGACTTCTCTCCATCTAATCTAATCTCCTTACCACAGAATATACAGGTCTTCTCTCTAGAATCTCAAACCACCTCAGTCTATTTTCCACCATCTTTTCTACTATAGATGTTACCCCAACACTCTCTCTAATATGATAATCTTATCATGTCTTGCTTACCACACATCCAACGCAACATTCTCATCTTTATTACACTAACTTTATTCTCATCAACACAGTTCAGATCAGACACCAAAACTGAAAAACACAAATAACAAAAAAATACTTCACTCAAACCCATCAATACACTACAACAAACATGCAGAGAAAACAAAAAATTCTTCCTATATGTTTCAATTCAACATGATTCAGATCAGAATGCACATATATCTTCAATTAATCACAGAACAACATCGTTTACACAATATTCTAAAATCGAATTAACACGCAAAAAACGCAAATCGAAATCAATATGCGAAGAAAGAGATACATAAATCACCGTTGATTTGTGGGAGTATGGATTGTAGAGATCTGGAGGTAGAAGAAGATGTGGATTAGGTTGATGATTTGGGGTTAGGTGGTGGAATTGATGTAAACCCTAGATCGTGATTCGCGATTAGAGAGAAATCTGTTATTCTGGAAAAAGGAAAACGAAAATGGAAGCGAAGCAAGCGAATGAAGGTGTATCTTATATTATAATCAAATTTCATCTTTATTCATTATCTAATTATCTATAAATAAGATACATTAATAATTTAATTAATCTTAAAAAAATGAAATTTACTTATAATATGCAACTAAGAAATTTTAAAACTTGTATTAGATAGTGCTGTTTTACATTAAATTTATATATTTATATTAGTAATTTTGAATTTATACAAGACCGTGTCTGTTTGTCGGTCTTTTTATTGCGCTAACGCGTAAAAATATTAACAACTTTTTTTTATAAGTTTAATTTTAATATAAACTATTTATATGATGAAACATCTTGTATTTATTTAGATACATATTAAGTTTTGTTTATAATATGTAATATTCGCGCATTAAATTTTATTTGAATGGAGAAAATTGCATTGTGACGTAACTTTATTTAACCAGTTTTTTCAAGCAAATAAATAATGTGACTAGAATAATTTGGTGGATAGGATTACCGTATTATGGAAAAAGAAATTAGGTTACACCAAAATTAAGTTTTGTATTTATATATTGCTATAGATTATTCAAAACCATAAGAAAATTTAGATAGAATAAAAACAAAAATCTTTGTCACAGTTTATTAAGCGCAATAAACATAAACATTAACACATATATTAAGTTACATTGTTGCTTAATAGAAAGGTCAACCATGGAATCAAAATCAGAAATATCTCTCGTTTCATTGCAAAACAAATGAAGTAAATTTTAGTAGTCAACGATATAGTGTAATCTAATAAGTACGCGCCTAGTGTGACATTGCAAAAGTATAGTTGAATGATTAAACATAATAGATAAATACCTGAGTTTGTGACAACAAAATTTCTTTAAAAACTATATTTTTTGTAAACTCCTCTTCTTCCCCATCTACTCTTCCGTCTTTAATTAGCACTCTTGTTGCAGCCCGCGAAACACCTCTTGATAAATCAACATACAATTGTCTGTGACTGAAAACATGTCGTGGAAGATAAATTCTGACATTTGGAATTGTTTGTCCTTGTGATTTATTTATAGTGATTGCAAAGCTTAGTTTGACAGGAAACTGTTTTCTAATAAGCATAAAAAGAAGTCTCGCACCTTCAACTTAATTGTTGGCAAGAAAGCTCTTTTTCCAACGTTGTGGCCTGCAAGTATTTCAACATCAAGCAAATTCATAAAAAAACAACCACGACATAACAACATTGTCCCATTACACACCCTAAATTTAGGGTATATGTTTCGCAACAACATCAGTGGAGCCCCTATTTTTATCTTTAAAATATGTGGCGGTAAAGCACTAGGAGAAATTGTGTGCAAGTATTCTTGTTGATATAGATTATGAGCATCACCCTCAACCTCATCAAAAGATGACAAAATATGTTCGGCTTCAGGGAATTTATTAATAATCATGTCATTCAACATATGCACATCACAATTTTTTGGAGTAAGTATCGCTCTCTCCACCATATATGAAGCATCCCATCCATGGTTTTTTAATTGGGGAAATGTATGTTGTATAAGCTTTTGTATGGAGCTTTCTTCTTCCCATGGTGTTACAATTTCAGCAGGCATTTTGACCATATCATCCTCTTTAGTAGGTTCATTACCATCTCCAATCCTCATCAGAAATTGCGTAAAGTCCTGATAATGAATTGATCGCATATTTTGGCGTAAATGTAGGACCTTTGTGGTGGCCCAAAATCGAGACCTAACAATACATGCTGAAATCATTTGTCCTCTATTTCCTTTTTCAATAACATGAAGCACCTGACAAAAATATCTTCCCATGATCATTATTTTTCCACCAAATGGAGCATTGTTATTCATGATGTCTTGCAGTGATCAAATCCAATGCTTCTACACAATATCAATTTATCATGGGTGCTTCATCCCAAATGATTGCATTGGTTATTCTAATGAGTTTTGCAAGGTCAGAGTTCTTTGCTATTTTGCAAATAGAATGGGGCTCTATATCAATGGGGATCCTAAATCGAGAGTGTGCAGTTCTACCACTAGGTAATAATGTAGCAGTTATGCCTGAGGAAGCTATTACTAAGACAATTTCATAATTACGTCTCAAATTTTCCATTATAGTTCGATAAAGGAAAGTTTTACCCGTCCCTCTAGGACCATCAACAAAAAAAATTTGACCTTGTTTTTGGTGGATGACGCTCATAATTGTATTGTAAGCACTCATTTGGTCATTATTTAACTTCTCAATAGATTTAACGTCTTCATTTGGAATTTTTACCGATAACTCTTCTTGAATAATTGCTGGCCTCCCTCGACTTCATTTGTTTCCATTGTCAAGATTGGAAGATCATAGTCTTTTATTAGTTTTCCATGTAGTAGCAAAATATCCCTCAATTCCCTCAATAACATATTTTCAAAGTTATCCCTCACAACAATATTTGTCATTTGATAATCCTCCACCATGTAAGGATAATACTCATTAAATAGGCCTCTAACATCAGTTATTTCACAAAAATTTAATATAGTCACAAACAACCTTCGTAAAGCATATGACATACACAAATTTGACGCTTCAAGAAAACATTCAAGAATACTATTATCACTCTCTAATAACCCCCAATCCTCAGCTGCTTTTTTGAATGTGAAAAAACATGCACCATTATGTGTAAGAAGGCATTCCTAACTTGTTGGACTTCTTAAATGAGACAACGAAACACGTAAATAAAATTTCTCACCTTCTGAAGAAGATACTGTATAGATTCGACCAATAACTTTTCATTTTGTCCGTCTTCGCTGCCATTTTTTGACCCCTTTTAGCCAACAATAATGCTCTGGAATCTCTCTGTACAAATAATTCATAGCATGTTAATCCATTTGGTTTAGTGCAAAGAACTCAGTGAGCATGGTTACTACATTTTGGTTATCATTTAGCACATTTGTGATTCTTTGATGCTTATAAAACCGCACTTGATGATGATTTGGCAAGTGGATTTGTAGTCTTTCAACAGAGAGATATAACTTGTAAAATGTAAATTTAAATATTTTCCACAATGCCTCTGGAGCACAAATCCATATTTCATCAACATGTTGTTGAATCTCATCCAAACTTGTACCTCTGTGAACTTCCATTGCAACTCGATCAGGACCTTTGTAAACATATTTATACAAATATTTAATACTTTTGATGCTGCTGGAAATCTCAACATTGATGTGACAATCATACTTCAACAACAGCCATGGATCATAAGGAACCACCCATTTATTATCATTAGACTTATTTCTATTTAGAAAAACGGGATCACTAAACCTTCTTTTGTATTCCGGGTATGAATCATTTCCCTGACCGTTTCTTCACAAAAGTATTTGGGATATCTTTTTTTATAATGACCATTCATCATATACATGGAGAGTTTTGATTCAATACTCCACATGGACCATGGATCATGTACTTTAACACTGCTTCATACAATTCTGGTTCAGATTCATGTCGTGGTATTTCTGCTTTCACCATGCTATCATACTCTTCAAGTTCCTGTA